CCCAGCAGCTGCAGAAAGAGACATTCAGAATACAGCTAGAACACAGATAACAAGAACGGAATAGGGTTTCCATACGCCAAATGCGCAATACAGTTTGCGCGCAATGCGTCAAGCGTCCCTCTTCGGCGAATTGCGTGTACAAAACTGACATTCGGACAGGACAGCACTTTGAAATAAAAATTCAATACACAGTATATAGGTGTGGGGCAGAACGGTGATTATACACAATAATAATTTATATCCACAATATAAACTGCGCTTTGGTCTGTAATACACAATAACGGTTACTGCTACAGCCAGTAGTCAGTATTATTATAGTGTCAGTTGTGTTGAGAGAGTTCTAGAGCTGCCGTCTGATGCGGTAGTTGGCCTGCTCCAGGTGAACCGTGTTGACGTCCATCTTCTGGTTGAGTCGGTCCAGCTGGTAGTTCTGACGGTCCAGCTCGCCACCCATGTCTCCTGCTATACCTTTCAGGTTGGTCAGGACATCAGACACTGCCCTGGGCGGAGAGAGAGAGAGGTAGAGACAGAGGGAGGGAGTGATCAAGGTAAGGAGGAGGGAGAATAAACTCAAGAAGTCTACTTCAAAATCAAAACCAAATTGTTGCTTGCATGTTTTTTAGTGGGGTGTCTGTCTGAAGATTCACAATACCATGCATAGCAATATACAGCATACCACTGTGTGTAGGGGGAGATGAGGGGATAATGAACGTTTTGGAGCAAATCCAGAAGTCACTTCACATTTACACAAGACTAGTGATATAAATTGTGTGATTGGCAAGTGCACACAGATTTGTGTTCCAGAGAATGCTGTATTCCAGGGAACGTACATACAAACTGTACTATACACAATTTTGTCTTCCATGATGGTTAACAATTATTACTAGTTGGTGTACACAAACATCACACCTACATCCTACCACAATCGTATAAAAGAGAGGGCACACCCAAGGGAGCTGCTTGTTAAATACAGCTCTCGGACAGTTGAATTTGACAAATTCCATTTAGCCTAATCGCCCGTGAACAGAAGCATAGGCAATGACAACAGCAGCTAGCCTCCCACTCGCCATATCAAAATGAGCAATAGCGAGGCATAGCTAAACAGGGTGTGGCTCTCTCTCTCTCTCTTTAGAGGCTCTGACATGGTATAAAATTTCACAAGGATGTGTCCGATGTACGGTTTGAAGACTTCACATAATTAGGTGTGGAATGCAGCACTTGCTTACTATCAGGTAGCCAAGACAGTTAGAGCATTGTTGGCTTAATGGCCAGTGGAGCTGGGCTTTCAGATTGCTCGGTGCACCCACACTAACACTGCACAAGTACACACATAACATGGAAGATGCGTACACAAGAACAGTTCTTCTGAATCTGCATTACATTCTGGTGGTGGGTATAAACAATCCTGTTACTAGGTCACCCTCTTATGCTGCGACATGTTGACTTGGACAAACACACCAAGTCAGCAGGCGGAAACACACACCAACACACAAATACAGATGGACACACGTCTTGTGTGTGCTTTAGCACTCACTGCAAATTTTCCTCCATCTCTTCTTCCCGGTCGTCGTCTGTGATCCTCTTGACATACGGGCCACCCGCCTGCCTGCTGCCTCCGCCATTGTTGGCGCCTGGCTGCTCCGTGATGGCCTCCATCTGTTGTGCCTTCTTCCCGTACACCTTCTTGTACGGTTTGGTGCCCTTGACGTTCCTTGTTTGTCTGTGCGGGCACACGCAGCAACCGCAGCACTTTTCCAGCTCCGTCAGGTTTTTGTCCGTTTGCTTTAGATCCACGTTTATCTCGTCCAGGTTCCTCTCAGCGTTGTCCAGCTTTTCTCCCTGCTCGTTGAGCGTGACCAACGTCTCCACGCCGATGCCGTGCGTCTCCTCTGCCACCTGCCGTATGCGGCGCGTTGCGTCCAGGGACTCGCCCGTGACGTGGTCTATCCTCTGCTCCAGTCTGTACCGTTCGTCGTCCATTGCTCTCCGCCGCTTCACCGAGAAACATACACCGAGAAGAAGGGACTGACGAATGAAACTCCAGTGAAGAAGAATTAGCGTGTGGAGTGATTGCGAAGTTGTAATTGTGGGTGGAGTTTTTGAGCGGCTGGCCGGCCGGTCGTTTTGGATGCGCGGCGCGCGCTACTTGTTTTATGACGTAATAATATTGGTTTGTAAGTTACTCTTATTAGTGCGCCCTTCAAAGTTCCTGCCTTTTTGCCAAGAAACTAATGGCGCACAATGTGCTTGTTGTGGGGTTCGGCGATCGTGTCTTCAATTTCCCCGTCACAAAGGCTGTTGAAGCTAGCACGCTGAGGGGTTGGCTGGATCAAAGACTGGTTTGTGTAAACAAGTTATCTGTGTTCAAGCATGTTTTTCTACCCACGTTTGAATCAACAACAGGGTACAGGATCAGATTATCATCTAACTCGTGGAGGAGCTCCTCTAGAAGAAACTGACATCATCCTCTGTGAAGAAGAATGGGGTACAACCCTAATAAGAGCTCACCCGGTACTATGTGGTGGCAAGGGAGGTATATAACACTCTATTAATTTCTCCACAGTTTTGTTCAGCTGTTTTTCTAAACTAAAATAGGGTTTGGTGCCCTGATTCGAGCAGTGGGTAGTCGTGCTAACAGGAGTGGGAACAAGGAGGCATGCCGAGACCTGAGTGGGCGGAGACTACGGGACGTGAACGCCCAGAAAAAGTGAGATGAAAGTCACTGCTAGCTTCCCACCTCTGAACTCCATTATTACACCACAATCACTATGCATCACTATGCATACACTGTGTATGATGTACAGGCTCTATATACACACACTGTGCATTCATACCATATAGCGATATCTTGAAGCTGAGAATTCTACTTGCACAAAAGTAAAATTCCTGCTATTCAAACTCGCAATATTTCGTTGTCAACTGTGTTTTCTCCCGCGAAATGTTCACGCTATTATTGTATCTCTAATGTATGTATAATTCACCCACTCTGTATTAATTGCTACTCTGGTGGTGTGTGTCAAAGTGTGACCAAGTGGCTGGAGGACGAGCCTGAGAGAAAGAGGAGGAAGCAGGAGGAGAAAAGGAAGCGACGACTGACAAAGAAAGTTCCTCCTAAGCACTTCTTTGACGACCGTGACTACATGGAGCAGCTGAGGAGCACTGAAGAGGGAATGGACGACGCTCTCAAACAAGGTGCGGCACTCTAGGTCTATTTTTCTTTTTTCTTTTTTATAAACTCAATTTCAATCTTATTTTGTGTTTTTGTGTTTATGTGCATATAGGTCAAGCTAGGCAAAAATTTGAAAGCAGCATTTTTCTGATGTTTTTTCCTGTTGTGTGTGTAGGTCTAGAGGCTAGTGGGCAGAAGGGAAAACTACCTGCATCTAACGACACTGCAGGACCTTCCTCTGCCAAGAAATCAAAGTTTTGGTAAGTTAGTTACATGGTGATATATGATGGTGTTTGTGACTGTGTGTTGTGTATAGGGTTGGAGGTGGAGAGGAAGATCTCAGTGAGTCTTCTGAGGGTGACAGTGACTCAGAGAGTCACGAGTATAAGGGTGTTGCATCTGGAGCTGGTACGACGGAGGGTGGGCTCAACTCGGCTGGTTCGTCTGACGAAGCTGCTCAAAGTAAACCGTCTGACGAAGAAGACATGACGGGGTCAGCTGGGAAGAACAGGGAGTCTTCTGATGGTGGCTCAGAGGGAGAGCCTTCTCGGGCACTTGCTGCTACACATCCAGAGGGAGACGGAGAGACTGTTGGTGAGGGAGAGGAAGTCAAGGCAGGGATAGACCAGGCTGAGATTCAAGATAGAGAAGTGGATCAGAGTCAGGACAAGGCTGAAGTCACTGAGTCTCCTAAAGATGATGTCAGCACTAAACCTCCTAAAGATGACGTAAGTTACAGTACAATGTGTTTTTCTTATATGCTTTTAGTGTAAGTTACACCGTTGCTTTGTAATCATTACAGGGGCCCCTCGACCTGAACGACTACAGCAGTGCAGGGGAGCTGGAGTCAGTTGGGGCAGAGAGACTAAAGTCGGTGCTGCAGTCCCTGGGTCTCAAGTGTGGCGGGACACTCCAGGAGAGGGCCGCCAGGCTGTTCTCCACCAAGGGAAAGTCACTGGAGGACCTCGACCCCTCCCTCTTTGCCAAGGCCGGGAAATCGAGGAAACGCAAGAACAAAGCTCAGTAACTATAAAATATTCATCACCAGTGGCTTAAACTTTTAAACACCCAAACTCATCATTGACCTTTGACAAACTTCATGTGGCATTGATACAGTACACACCATATGAAATAGTTTGTATTATTATTATACGCACATTTATCTGTTGTTCAAAAAGTTTAACAGCTGTTTTCGATTGATTTCTCTCTGTGGGAGACATATCATCACGGAAAGAGATAAGCCGGGTTTAGCGGAGGAAAGTTGTTGGCAAACCTGTTTGTCTTCTGAGGTCTTCCGAACCTTCATCTTGATGATGTTACCACTGATGGCACTCCTAGCCTTTCTGGCATCCCTCTCCTTCATGAACTGTGGGGATTTGCACACAGTCGTATATACAGTGGAACCTCCGAACAAGGGACACTGTAGAGCCAATGATTTGTCCCTTGTAGAGAGGTTGTCCCTATCTCCTAGGGTCCCTTATTGGAGGTTCCACTGTATAGGTTTGCAATTAAGAAGGGTTTCCCCCCAAACCCCAACCTCTCAATTACTAGGCAAGTGCAAGTCAACAACGCTACTAGAACACACACACAGAATGTATGAAACCCCGAACCACCTGCGAGAGTCGAACAGGGCCCGAGGAGGGCTCTCTTCTTTTCTTCTTGTTCTTGTCTTTGTCTTTCTTCCGTTGCTTCTCCCGTCGTTTCTCCTTCTGTACTTAGCTCCCCCAGATGGTAGTGGGCGGGGCAGTAGTGGGTGTGGTGAAAGGGGTGTGGCCAGAGTGTGGGACACCCTCACCGAGTCAGCATAAAAACAACAGAAATGGGGAAACATCAGTCTTTGGTTCTATAGCTCAAAATTGTTTCCTCTGTAAAATTTGTTTTCTTCCTCCCGCTTACTACATGGTACCAACAGTCATTGTACACACAAACACTGAGATTGCACTGCATTTGTACCAGTAATACACACTCACACAGGTATACATACCAATTGTTTGCTGTGTCGAGGGGAAGGCTTCCGTCCTCTCCTCACTGCAAGGAGAAGAAAATATTTGTGCATCAGTTAAGTATTTTGGCCTCGTCTCCAGGCCCTCTCAGAGTAAAGAGAGGATCGGGAGATGAGACGTCAGATGTGATCTCTCACTTGGACTGGAAACTGATGAGTCGGATGAAGACGAAGATACGGACTCCTCTGATGATGAACTATAACTACTGCTGCTCGGACTTCGTCTCCTCTTCCTCTTCTTCTTTGTGTCCCTCCTGGGGCCCTCGCTCTCTGATCGAGAGTCTGAACCCGACGACGAGCTGCTGCGACCTGTTCGCGGCCTCTCTCTTCCACGAGACTTTTGTTTTGGTTTCATACGTGGACTTCTGCTTCTGCTCCGAGAGGACGACGAGGAACTGGAAGATGAGGGACCTCGTCGCCTTTCCTTCTTTTTCGTATTTTCACGTGATTTGGAGTCGGGAGAAGAAGCGGAACGCGATGGTGGTCCTGACTTTCTGTCGTCACTCTCACGTGATCTTCTTGAAGTCGTGCCTAAAACAAGAATAGGCGATTCTCTATCTCTAGCATACGTAGAGCTTGGGCGTACCTTTTGAGCGATCAGCGCGACTAGACATGGACGACCCTCTCTTTTCCGACCTTTCCGCCATCTTTGTTGAAAATTAAGGGAGGGGCCCGGGGCGCATGTGACATCGAGCATGCGCACGCGATGCAAAATCTGGCGGGAAAACCGTCCTTTTCGCGGGAGATTCTTTCTGAAACAAGTAGCTGGCAAGATGATGGTCGGAGGAGAGCCAACGGAGACGAAGCAGATCCAACGAAAGAGTCTGCTGACGCTGGACCAGCAGAACAGCTGCAGCGACATCTTTGTTTCCATCAGCGGTCTAATAGGTGCGCCCTCCCCTCCTCTCTTGCACAGCTTGGCGGTTTATCTACTCGAGCCTCTGTATCCCCTATTTCTCTTCTAGGAGCTGGGAAGACGACGCTGGCCACTAAACTGGCAGAGAAGATGAATCTTCCCGTGTTTTACGAGCCAGTCATAGACAACGTCTACCTCGACGACTTCTACAAGAACCCTGCTCGCTATGGATTCCCGCTACAGGTATGTATGTTTAGTGTAGTCTCCAGAGCGGTTAAGGTTGGGCTTGCGCCTTTCTCTGTCGTAAGAGCTGAACTCGGTTGTGAGATCAATTCTGACAAAAAGCCTGTCTGAACGTTTTGAGTTGACCGCTCAACTGCCTCACATTTCATGCTGTGTGTGTAACTGTAGGTGTTTCTGTTGAACCGGAGGTTCCAGCAACACCAGCAGATCATCTGGCAGGGCAGGGGTGGGGTCCAGGACAGAACCATCTACGAGGACTCCGTCTTTGCCAAGGTAACCCCCGTGTCTCTTTCTCACCAGTTTTTTCATCAATACTGCCACTCAATATGAATACATAGTCTTTCATGCCAAGCACTCCCACTTTCTTTCAAGCATGAATAAATTGTTCACAGTATCGTATTATTCACACCTAATTGAGCAGTGCCTTGCCTGTACTAAATCATCAGGTGCTAAGAGACTCAGGGATGATGGAGGAGAGAGAGTACCAGACCTATCGCTCCCTCTTCAGCAACATGTCCAACTTTATGTATGTGAGCTCACACAATGCACACAACACTTGTGAGTGATGGTTCTTATAATATGAGCCCACATGATGCAAAGTTCATCATATTTTACATGATGCACAAGGTATAATATTATACTCCAAGTAAGGTAGTGGTTCGTGTCCAACTGCCCTTGAGCTTGCACAAGCAATAGTTTAGAGTTTATTTGTTTGCTTTGCCTTGCCGCTTTACCTCATTGACGTCACATGAACAACTATATAGCATGTGTGTTTCTCATGTTTGTGGCTCGTGTCTGTCCTGCAGGAAGAAGCCGAACCTGATAGTTCATCTCGACGTGTCTCCCGAGGAGAGCAAGAGACGTATAGAGATGAGGAGCAGAGAGTGCGAGTCCACAATCTCCCTCGACTACCTGCGGAACCTCCACGCTGCCTACGAGGAATTCATCAAAGACATATCCAGGATCATCCCCGTAATCAGGGTCAATTACGAGCGTTTCAGATCTGCCGATGAAATGGCCGATATGATAGTCAGGTAAGGATAATCTTAGCCACTTAACCAGCTGCGGACACAAATGTGTCCAGAGCCTCCATAAGTCCATAACAATTTATATAATACTTCTTTAAAAGATACCCATGGCATCCAAAGGGTTTTAATATTCCCTCTACTGTGAAAATGTCCCGGTGCAACATTTTTGGCGGAAAAGACTCAAAATGCTCATCTTCAAATTTTACACCAGTGAAACTCTCTGTGTACAGGGAGTACTCTGAGATGGCGACAGTTCGTCACGTTGACTTCAGTGACTCTGACCGGGCGCGCAGCCTGAAGATGGCGAAACAGCAGCCTCTGCAGCACCCTCCGCTCAGGTCTTCACCACAACTGACAACTGCTGAAGTAGCCCACTGACTCTTGCCCCCAGCTCTCTTTTATATCTTCATGGTTGTGTTTGTCCATCATAGAAGCGTAATCTGTACATGTAAACTATGAGACTGTGCAACAAACAGCGCATGCGCAGAGCGCTACAGAGGCGAGTTTCGAGACATGCCGGCGAGATTGCGGCGCAAGGGCATCCTCTCGTTCCTCGCCGTCTTACTGGTAATAACAGTATGGCTCTTTATACTCTCATCTCTGAAACGACTGGATGGAAGCGGAACTAGCAGAAATGCTGAAACAAACATTGCAGTCGGAGGGGCGGAACTGCATCGAGGGTCGTTACGACTCAATTCCTCGGAGTTTCTGCAGGCGCTGGCGGCTCCGAGGAGACCTCTGCTGGTGCGGTTCGACTGGTACTCAAGAAAAACTACTCCAGTCCACATAGGGTACGTCGGAATGGCGAAAATATCGCATCACACAGTATAATTGAAGGCAAACTGCTGCATAGCTGATGGTAATTTTACCGATCGAGACGCGCGCGTGTTTTCCTTGCTCTACAGATACGCTGGTAAGACGGCTAGAGCCATACTGGAGCCGTACGGTTTTGTAGAGACACACTCCGACGATTGGGTGAGCTGCAGACAAGCACATCTATGCATACAAACTGCTAACGTGACGATGTGATGTAGGATTTGCTGTGGACCATGGTCCCCCAGTGGGAGGCTCTACACACGACCAAGACCCCAGGCCTCCCGAGACCTTGGCAGGTCCACAACCACTGCCTCTCTCTGTCCAACAGCAGAGGTATATCGGGAAGCAAGGTCTCCCAGTGGGAAATGTACAGGTGCATGAGAGAGAAGCACGGAGAAGAGGCCTTCTCCTATATGCCTGATACATTCATTCTACCCAAGTAAGAAAAAAATTAGCAGTTCATGAAATAGTAGATAATGCTTGTTATACCCTATAGAGAAAGATTTCGTTTGGAGAGGGAGCTGGTAAAAGAAGGATCCCCTTGGATCGTAAAGCTGTCAGTTGGGAAGCGGGGTTTGGGGATTAAACTCGTCTCCACCAGCTCTGGAATCCCAAGTGATGCCCACGAATACGTGGCCCAAAAGTACATCCGGAGACCGTTTCTCGTAAACGGGAGAAAGTTTCACATGAGGCTGTATCTGGTCATAACCAACATGCAGCCGTTGCATGCACTGCTCCACAGGGAAGGCCTTGTGCTGTTTGCAGCCACAAACTACTCTGAGAATAAGAAAACCTTCCACGATCTGAGCATACATCTCACCAACGCCGCCATCGCCGATCGAACCAACAAGCAAAGCACCACGAACTCGATGCTGCTGTCTAACCTGTGGAAGATCATGGGTAGCCGCTACGGAGTAGACGTGCGTGCAGTGTGGGAGGAGATTAAGGATATAGCGGCTAAGCTGGTGCTCACCCAGCAATGTGAGACAGAGCTAGAGACTAGGGCCCCGGGGACCTGCTTTGACGTGATTGGTGTCGACGTCCTGCTGGACTCCAATCTGAAACCGTTTGTTCTGGAATGCAACAACGGACCGGAACTGTACACTGAGGACACTGCCGTGAGACAGGTAGAGTAATGAACAACTGAAAGCAATCAGTCAGAGTTTTCTCGCATACGCACAGTCACTTTCATACACATTGTGTATACCATAACTATTTGGCAGGTGTTTGATACATTCACACCAAAATTGCAGTATATAGTAACATAAGTAGTAGTATAATAGTGTGCAATGATTGGCAGGTTCAAACGGGTCGTTTGGGCAAAATCACCAATGTTAATGACTGGCAATATTTCCTTTATTGCAGGCAAATGATGCGGCCCACAAGGCTATGCTGAAAGATCTGATACCAATGGTTGCACTCCATGGTAAACACACAGAGACACAGCTCTCTGACTTCAAATCAAAGTGAGCGGCAGAGAGAGTCACCCGTGAAATCCTTCCTCGTGTTTGTGTGCAGATTGACCGAGATTTGTGCGGAACAGAATGCTAAACAGTGTGCGGTGAAAACACCATTGGATTTGGTGGGAGCTGCATCAGTGACAGTGACACAGCAAACCTCTGGAGACTATACTTAGAGGTATATACTGTCTATTATACTGACATGATAGTCAGAAAGGATGAAACCTTGAAATGATCTGCCCAGGAAAAACGTTTAGGCTCATTTGAGAGGATCCTCCCATCATCAAGCTATCATCAGTACTTCAGAAACAAGCCAACCTTCTCAGACACTCTATTGTCCAATTGGTTACACCACATTTCATAGCAATCCTAAATATCATACAAAATTTTTTAACCCTATTGTGCCACACACACTATGAAATTGAGCTACAAAAATATGGGCTATAATATACATAGTGGTTAATAAAAAGTTTCAAACTGTAGTAGCTACATGATCAAAATACTCACAGTTACCAACGTTTATTGGGATAGTTTACGCAAGGCTACCCGGGCTGCCTTGTTCTTTGCTGCCTTGCGAGATCCTGCCTTCTCAGTAGCCACTACAACTCCTTTGTGTCTGATAGTGCAGCAGACTTTCCCTTGACTTGCTGGGGTTCTGTCCAACCAGACAGTACAACAATTGTACTTTACATTTTATTGAATGGACACACAGAGTGCTCTTCACTTACAATTTGACGTCCACATCAAATGACTGGTGAAGTTTCTTTATCGTGGCATCGGTATGTCGTCTTTGAACTTCTCTGAAAATTAATTGTGACAGAGGAACCTTTGATCTATAACATACATCCGACTACTACATTTGTAGCTATATCTAACACAATCATATACTAGCACAAATTTGTAAGTGTTTTAAAATGTGGCCATTCTGGCATAAAACAAGGCTTTACACATTATGAGTTGTAGGGGCTAACAGATTTGAAGAATGAATAAAATGCTGTAGTTGTGCCCTACACAATCTTTAGCAGTTACAACATGATGGAATGAAAGGTCATCACTTTAGTGAACCTTGGTTGATGCAAATTCCTTCAGGAAGGCAGTCAATAAGGCAAATACTCTGGTCTATCTATCTCACCGATCTTCTCCTCAAAGAGAGGTCCGAGACAGCTCCAGACGGCCTGGAGGTCCATGCCACTGTCCATGAAGACCGCTCCGGCAAGACTCTCCAGAATATCTCCCAGGACCTTCGGAGGCTCCACATCATCATCATCATCATCATCATCATCACCCTCTTCCTCTTCCCCCTCACTGTCAGAGTCTGTCCCTCCTGTCACTATAGGCTGCATGGTACACAAGGTAGTCCCATGGAAAGGTTTATGTGTACGTCGGCATGTTGTCCAAATATGCATGCATTTCAAGTAGGTGTTTCTAGAAATTTTCCTCTAACTGTCGCTTCCATTCGCCTCATTTCATAGGGGCATTGGAAAATTTGCGCAAACCCACACAAAGTGCAGGATTATTCACGTTATTCAACGAAATTTTGAAAGTGAATGAATACCTCTGGAAATTATCTTGGCCGAAAGAGCTTTAGGAAAATAAATACACTGTACTCCAATATATTTAACTAATGACCCTAAGGTACATTCGTACAATACCTCTTGGTCTTCCCCGCGTTCTGCCAGGAATCTCTCGTACTCTTGAATGACTCTGAAGAGGACTGGGGAGCAGTGGAGGAGCAGTTTCTGCAGCCCCAGCTTCACCGCCAGCTCCGCAAACAGGTTGTTGTTCACGAGGGCCGAGCGCATGTCCGTAATCTTGCCGGGGTCAAAGTCCGGGAACCTCTCGTAGATCTGAGTGGTGATAAGGTAGTCAAGGACGGCGTCTCCGAGGAACTCGAGACGTTGGTAGCAGTCGGTGACCCTGTTTTTCTGGTAGGAGGCGTGTGTCAGGGCCTGGAGGAGGAGGGCCCTATCCCTGAACCTCCATGGGAGGACCTCACCTCGCCCTGTGCTGATCTGGAGTAGTCTGTCCACTGTGGCCCTCTGGGCCGGGTCAAACAGCGACGGCGGAGGAGGGCCAAAGTGTCGCCCTAGAATCTCCGGCGAGCGACTCACGAGAAGGTTCCCATCTTCTTCCACTGGAAATATCTTCGGGAGAAAGTCTGGCATGTTTCGAACGCGGAGCTCCTAGGGATTCCGTCGAGGAGCCTGCTTCAAGCTCTCCTTCTGACAACTCCGCGTCTTCCTCAGGTCTGCGTCTGACGATTTTGAGTCCGATCCACTTCATGAACCGCAGAGCTGCCTCGATCCCTCCAGCCACCAGGTAGGCTCCAAATAGACTCTCCATGAAATCAGCAACTCCCTTGTCTGTAATCTTGTGGTAGACGTACTGACGCTTGGACTCTGAGACTTCACTTGCTGTCACTCCCTCGCTCCCTCCTAGCTCCTGCCCACCTCCCATGTCCTGCTCACTGAAGATGAAACACGGAGGCACCCAGCCTCCGGTCGGCTGAAAAGCCTTGGAGAGGATTTTGCCCACCATGTTCCGTTGTTTCGCCAGTCGAAAGAGGTTCAAGTTCCCAATACGTCTCATCCTTGCAGATGTGAGTCTTCCTTCATAGGCATTCGGACGCTCACAGTAAAGGAAGACAGACGTGGCAAACTTGAGGAAGGAATCCCCGAGAGTTTCCAGTCTCTCGTTGTTAATGGAGTCGTTGGCAGACTTTAGCGTCACGGCCTGCAAGAGAGAGCGTTGCCGGGTCCGCGGACACTAACGGGGTCGTTTGAGCAGGGGCAGGTGGCGGCCACTGAGTCGCTGTCCAAGTTCCACTGTGTCTCCAGTTTCCCCAGACCGTAGTCCTCGTACCCTCGGAGCTCCGTTTTTGTCGTCCTGGTTCTCCCAATGCCAGTAGCAAGCGCCACCTCTGAGCGCAGGTCGTCGACACGAAGAAGACTCTCGACGCGAAAGAGCAAGGAGGGGAGACAGCGCACAACCTTTACGAAGCTGGCGGGCAGTGGGTAGAAGCGGATTACATCAGCAAACAGAGTCTCGGTGTGGAGGCTGGCTTCGTCAGAGGTCTGGGCCAACTCTCCTCCGTGAGTGTCCTTGTACCGAGATTTGATCACGTTTAGTCGAGACTCGATCAAGCTAATCCTCCTGCACTCCAGCGCAGGTTGGCTCAAATCACCGATCATCACGTTGTACTTCCTCTGGAAGTAGTCGGCGTACGAAGTGTACATGTCACTCGGGAAATTGTCACCGGGGGTGACCCCTTCATTAACACTCAATACCTCCAGTAGACCTACACGTTCCTCGTAAACCTTTGTCACGACCACATCGTCGAAGGTAAAGGGAAGCTCAGGTGGGTCGAGGTGGCTGTTGCCACATGCAATCACTTTCCTGGCCATTTCAAAGTCTATGTGAGCTAGCGGAGGACTCTGCATCTGCCACAAGTTGATGGGAACCACGAGTACGCTGCCTGCTGCCTCTTGGAACGAGCAGGAGAGGAGTGGAGAGCTGATTCTGAGGACGCTATCAAACAGGGCTCTGTGAGACTGTTTCAGGACCTCGAGCTCAGTCTCGGACACTGCCGTGACTCTGGACGGCAGCTCCACCAGTTTCACTCTGATCTCCATCTTCTTCTCATACAGTGTGAACTCTGGGATCTGCAGAGATAAAAACTCTCCAAAAGAAGCTCACAATATCTACATACCTACGTACAATCTAGTCCTATTGCTGTGATCACATACACACACACCCTATTGGCGAGTGGTAAATGTTGTTGGATTCCAGCGAAAAAGCTTGCCATAACTATGCAACATAACCAGTTCCTTACTTGGTCACACTCTATACAAAGGGTATGTATGTTGCATATACTAAGAAGTATACCCACTGTATATACATATGTATGTACCAAGGCACCTGTTGGTGCGGCAGGGGGTTCCTGGTGAGAATGCCAAAGCCAGAGTGGGGGCCTTGGGGAGGCTGGCGGGAGAAGGGGAACTTGTGTATGTCAGAGTCGGCCTCCTCCATCAGGAGAACGTAGAGGTAGTTCCCTGACCCTGTCACTGGTAGTGCATCTCTCAGTCCACTCGCCACCTACATATGTACACAGTTGTTGCACACTGCATATATGCACTCGCAGAGAAATAAACAGTGCACTGTTTTTCTTGAATCATGAATCAGCCATGATTGCTATAAAGCAGCAATCTAACCCAGCACCCCATGGTTGCTACAACAACACACGTGATTCAAGAATAATTCACGTACTAACACATAGGGGTATCAAGCTGCACGTGTATGCATATTTACCTCATCTCTGTAGTATTTAGCCCTCTTCTCTGTCCCGGCATGTTTCTCCTTCTGTCCCTCCTCCTCCTCATCTTCTCCGTCCGAGTCGGGATCTCTGGTGACTGGCTTGAGGTGTTCGTCCAACTCTCCCCTCCCGTGGAGCTCTCGAATCGCCTGCAGAGCTGCCGACTTGTCTGCAATACGACTCTTGGGCATCCAGTGACCCTTCACGTGGAAGAAAATGTTGGGTTTAAGTCATGTGGGGTTTTAGCCACATCAGAGAAGCTGGTTAGGTTACTCTTGTTGTTTTTTTGCTTTCCCCAAGTTATGTTAGCAGTCTTTATAAGCGCGTAAGCACCGGCACGGAGTGTCTTTACTATGCACTTAAGTGCTGGCAAGGATAGCTGGATATACTTAGAAAAATCGGTATATATCATGTACATGCATGGTAGGGCCTTGTGTATGTGTGGCAGGTGGTCACTTGTTTCCTCCCCTTCTTCAACTACTAAACAGCCCCTGTTGGTGCTGCTGATGATATCTCACAGTGATTTTCTCCCTGATGGGACAGCTGATGGGCAACTGGACGGTGCTCCGAAACTCCGTTTCTCCTGCACTCAGTTTTAGCTGTGGGCGGTCCGCTAGAGCTAGTCTGGATTCGTGCTCAAAGATGGGGGAAAACGACGTGAACTTGTCTGAAAACTTCTGGCAATACCTGCAAAAGAACGAGACATTCTTTACAGCTACAGTAAAACCTCTGAATAAGGGACACTTTAGAGACATTGAAAGTGTCTTTTATTCAGAGTCACCCTTTATTCAGTGGTAGTATAATACACTAATGTATTAGTATGGGGTAGAACCAAGTGTCCCTTATAGAGAGGTGTCCTTTATTGAGAGGGTAGTTTTATATACAGGACAAGGTGGGTGAGAGATATGTATACTGACTTGTAGAGAAAGGAGAGGCTCGAGCTGAGAGTGGCGCGGACACCAGCGTCGAGACCAAAGGGAGCGTAAATGTTGCACTCGTCCAATTCCAGAAACTTCAGAAACTCTTCGTCTTCGGGAGGATTTCGATCGAGACAGAGAGTCCGCAGCTCCTTCTCCACTATTTGGTAGCCATAGAGATCGCTCCTGGCTTTAACTTCCTTCTCGTCTTCAATCATAAGGATGTACTTGGAGGGTTTGGCCCTGGCACGTCCCTTCGACTGGACGTAGGAGCGCAAGTTAGGTGGGAAATCGAACCGGATCACTAGGTTACACCGAGGAACGTCGATCCCTTCCTCCACAACGCTGGTCGCGATGAGAAGATTGATTTTCTCCCTCCGAAACTTTTCGAGGACTTCGTCCTGTTTCTTGACGTTCATATGAGACTCTCGACGGATGCTCGTGAAATTCTTAATGGCGTTATGGCCCACGATGTAGTCACACCTGATGGCAGCCAAACCGGAGTTACTTGGGGTGAGGAGGTCAAGCATACGCTTCAGAAGCAGGGCGGTCATTCGGCGTTCCACAAACACGATGCCCAGCATCTTGCCTTTCCTTCTCTGCCAGGCAGCTGCACCACCACCACCACCACCACCACCACCACCGAGCTCCTCTTTGAGGCATTCGAGGAGAACCTGAACTTTGTAGGTGACGTCAATGTCGTCGAAACTGTGAAGCTCTCTTGCTTTTTTCAGAAACAGGTCGATGTTTGTGAGCGCCAGGCCCAGGAGAGCTTTCTGTTGAGGCTCCAGAAGAACAGACTCCGGTGACGAGAGAATGTTGCTCAAACCCTCGAAGCACTGTTCGGCGCAGTTCCGGGCACACCAGATGCCCAGGTTCTCGAGTATGTGGAGACAGTCGTCCAAAGTCACCTTTGCAATCCGGTAGCACACGTCGTCTCTCTGGTCTCTGGGGAGACGTTCGAGGAACCCGAGTGGCTCGGTCAGGATTCTCTGGAGCTCGACTGTGTGCTCGTGTAAGTGTGGAAGAGGGCTGGAGCAGTAGACCAGCGCCGTCTCCTCTGGATCTGTCGCATGGAGAGCCACCGCTTCATAATCCCTGGCCGTCTGACTCCGACATTTGAGCCTCGTCTCCAGCTCTTTAATCTGCTTCACCAGTTCCCCCGGTTTACACTTGTTGGGGAGTAGCGATGCGGAGAGACCGAGAATACGAGGGTGGTCGTCAAAGTCGGGGACCGAATCAAAGACCTTCATGATCTGGACGTACACGTGATTCTTTACGGCGTGGTGGCACTCGTCAAACACCAGGAGATTCACGTTTCGCAGGTGGATGAAACCGGCGTGGAGCATGTTGAGGAAGATGGTGTGGGTCATGACGAGGATGTGGTGGCTACTCAGCTCCTCGCGCCACTTGTCTCTGGTCCAGCTGTCCACATTCATGGCCCCAATATACTGCCCCACGTCCAGCATCGTGTGTGTTTCCAAGTACTCTGCCTGCTGCTTCACCAATGGAACTGCACAGGAAGAACCAGCAAACTTACATTCAACACCAAGTACGGTAGTAGGCCTGTGATTATACTTGAGGGCGTCGATACTGACTGCATTGACTGGGAACGAACGCCTGGCGCTACTCAATGTCTCTCTATCTCACCAGTGGTGACAAGAAAGACGGTTCTTTTGGCGGTGTGGGTGAAGGGTCGCTCCAGTATCTGGAACGACAGCTCCTTGATGAGCATCACTGCGATGAACGTCTTCCCGGCGCCCGTACCGAGGTTCACGATCGTGTTCTCGCAGAGAGCGTCTTCCAGGAGCTCCACCTGGTACGGTCTGGGCTTGATGAAGGAGGACGACTGTCCGGCCTTTTTCTCTACGGCCATCTTGTCTCCTTCGTCGTTGCGACGCGGGGTTTTGCGCCTCACCGGAGGCTCCTCCGACCGTCCCCTAGCTTTTTTGGTACCAGAGGATCGCTCCATCCAGCTGCTCAGCAGTAGTACTAAGAGTAGACGCTAGGAGTGATGTTGAGGGCTTTTGTAAAGGCGCAGAGCGCAGGGGTTTTCCCCGGGGGAATTCCCTAGGACTTTAGTGCGACGTCACACCGTCAGTTCACAGCCAGCTCACTTTCAGGCATGGACTTAGGAAGGTGTCTTGTGGAAGAGGTTAGTGTTACCTAAATGCTACCCTTCTAATCCCGTCTGTATGTAGGCACCCCCTACTGTGCACTACATACCTAACTTTGTCACAGCTGAGGAGGCAGAGGACTTGTGGAAACAGGTTAGCTAGCTCTGCCTAGTGTCCATAATGAGGAGGTAGTCCCTGTGATTCTGTTCCAGGTTTATGCTGCCCCTAAGCCCAAATGGACCCAACTCTCCAACAGAAGATTACAAAACTGGGGTATGTTGACTAAACCTGCTGCTGACTAATGCTGGTAACTGTGTTTCAGGTGGTGTACCTCATGAAAAGGTAGGTGTAACGAGGGGACTTACCCTCTATTAAGTTCCTATTGAACGTAACATACAGGGGATGGTGTGTGAGCCGATGCCAAAGGTATACAATGCATAAGAATGGTGTGCCAAGTCGGGTTTTGCTCCCATTGTGTGTGCACACAGTGGCTGAGTGACTGCCGTGAACGGGTTAAGGATCTGGGAGTGTTTGGAGACAAGACACCCAACCATGTGCTTGTTAACGAATATACCCCCGGCCAAGGAATAATGGTGGGACAATTGTTGTCTGAATTTTGACAGGAATTGAAGCATACGTACTGATTAGGGCTGTCTCGTTGAATGACCAATGGTCATCTGTTGGTTAAAACTTAGTCCAAGCCAGGAATAAGTGCTTGCACAGGTAGACCCTGGGCAGAGTAAGGCGTATATAGCTCATTGACCCATAACACTGCATATATGTGGGTCCATCCGACCCCATTCAAACACCACGCAGCTGTCTGCAATAATCCCGTCCGGAAGAAAACTCCTGGACCTGACGAAGAAGACGCTCCACAGCCCCACTCCGGTCAACTATGTCCAAGGACCAGGTCTCCATCAAGGCAACTCAAAAATCCGCCCCAGAACTATTAATTATTAAGTCCCTCCCTGACAAAAGCCCTTGATAGTCCCACACGAGCTCAGTTGCGACCCGCAACCACGTACATTTCATCTCCCCGCCACATCCCGACTAGCTGTAGGGTCACTCAACTGGTTGCTAGAAGAGTCCACGTAGAGGTGAATGTAACTCGCCCCTCTAACTAGAATAGCCCCTCTGGAAAGCCTAAATAAGCGGGGGGTGCCTTCCCTTGGCGCCGCTAAGAGACAGCGACGCGAGTCCCGGCCACTGGCAAGAGCCGTACGCATTTTATTGTGTCACCGCGCCATCCTCTCCATCTCCAATTTTCCATCGTCACCCACTTCCTCTATCCGTTTGCTATACCCTTCATTTAGACCGTCCTACCGTGGATGCACCCCAGAGAGTAGTAATCAGCAACCTGTATAACTCGTCGCTGCCGGGTCAGGGGGCGATGAGGCCGTCGTTGAGCGTGGGCCCGTCACCTGATCTACTCAGAGAGTCATAAGCGCTACTTATTGGTTGGCCTGAATTACCACCGACACAGGTCCCCCATTCAGGCCGCGCGCCCCCCGCTATCTTCTCAGCCTATCTCTACCGAGGACACCGACCCCTTGTGGATGTCAAGGATCGGCGCATGCGTCCAGGGGAGTGAGCGGCAGTGCTGCAGCATAGCACGTCGCATTGGGCCGCTTCTACGACCTCACATAGTGACCGCCTTGAGGGTGTTCATCCTTGGCCATGAGCCGTGGCGGGATACCCAGATCAGATAATTTGTCTGACTCAATCCGTTCAAGAGAGTTTGAAATGGAGTGAGTTCCAGGGACGCGACCCTACGCTAAGCCCTAAGCGCCATGACGCATGGTCATCCCTTGGAGCGACACACCATCGACACTTTTAATAAATGGATAATCCAGACTGAAGTGCGAAGGATTGGAGAGTGTGCTGACATCTGCATGGTTATATGAACGGGATCTATTGTGATGGGATTGACGGAGACGATGAATAATCATTGCAGTAGGATTACCTGAATTGTCTCGTTCCCAATCTCATGTGTGCTGGCTCTGTACAAACATAGTGTAACACTCTCGCTTTCTTCGCCGTGCGAATCAGAGTGTTCGGGGTTGCACTCCGGTCATCGCACCCTGTGGCATAGTTCAGCAGGGACTAAGTGGCTTGATTCGGAGACTCTCTTATATACAGTAGCATACACTGGTACTTAGAGGCAGGAATGATGTGTATGAGATGGACATGACACAGCCACAAAGGTTAGTGTGTGAAACAGAGTAATTAATGTGACAAGTCAACTGGTTGGGGTCACTGTCTCCAGTGCTCTATGTCCAGATGTCTGGCTACAATAGTTTTGTCTTCCCCATGCACAGCCTCACGAGGACGGTCCTCTTTACCATCCAGTAGTCACTACCATTAGCCTCGGGTCCCATACTCTCCTTGACTTCTACAAGTCTCTCAGCAACACTGACCACCAGGTAGGCCTAAGCCAATTATGCTAAGAAACACACCAATTATTTAATTAGGTTAATCTAATGTAAATTGCCCATTATTTCAGCATTCACATCCTATTATTCATATTTTTAATGGAAATTATACTGCATCATATTCATCTTTTTAACGGTAATTATATTGCATCATGATAGAAGTTTCAATGTAGTCCTGCAGACTGCTGTCTTGTTGATTGTTGAATGAATTGTTCAGGAGAGAGAAAACTCGCTCACAGGCAGCGGATGACGATTGAACCAGGATCACCTTTTTAGCTGCTGCAGCCCATGCTGGCAAAGATATCTCGTGTGTTCTCCAAAATTCCCGAGGGGAGTAATTTGGGTTAGTATCTTCAGACGCAGCAATGTATTGGGGCAATTCGAGTTTGAGATTGCCCAGGGCTGTACTGTCCAGGAAAGGAAATACAGAAAGACTGTCCACAGCAGAGAAATCCGGATTCATCTCGTTGACCTTAGACGGACAAAAAAGTCGAGCTGCTTTGAAAGCAGCCAGTGGGACTTGCATGCAACCAGTGAGACATTCTTGGTAGTATTGCAGACCAGGTTGCACACAGGAGAGAGCGTAAGTATTGAGCTGCTGTTCAACTTGCATGTTCCCACAAGACAGTCGCCTAACAACTGCTTGCAGGTTTGGGTAGCATGGTTGAGGCATGTTTACAGTTGCTGTCAGCGAGCTAATAACTTCGTAACATTCAAGTGCAAGAGAGCCATCTCCCTCCAGCTTGTAGGTGGATGTCACAAAAGGCATCCCTGCATCAACAACGACAGCAAGCTCGATTTCTAAGAACGCCTTCTTCTGCTGATCTTGAAAAAACTGGAGGAGCTTTTGACGGGTTGCAGGTGCCTGGTCGTACTGCCTCAGAAAAACCTCCACATCTCCATAGAGCTCTAGCAGCTGCTTCATGATCTCCCACCTACTCCACCATCTTGTTTGGGAGTAACTGGTAACAGACCTGCCTGTTTGTTCCCTCCACATGAGACGTGCTTTTGGACTATGGCTAAATAGGCTAACCCAGGCCATGGTGAACTCGACAAGGTTAGGAGCACAAAACTTGCTTCCTACCAAGTCGAGTGTGTGGGAGAAACACCCCACATCAAGCAATGCAGGATACACCACCTTTAAGGTACGCAGCGCTACGTTGTTGACAGCAGCTCGATCCCTCATAGTAGCTAATAGAGAGGAAGGGTTGATGCTGTAGCTTACAGAGAGTGTTGCAATTAGCTCCCTGGCCACCTCTTCCCCAGACATGCTCTGAGCAAGCAGCTGAAGGCGAACTAGTCGTTGTTCAATCTTCCACTCACTACTGACATACCTCACCACAATTCCCATTGCCTCCCCCATCCGTGTCGTGCCATCGAAAATTACTGAGATATCTTTGCCACAAAGTTCCTCTTTGATTTTCACTTGCTCCTGCGAAGCAATAAATGGAATGACATCTGACATGTGCCGTCTGTCCGATAAACGAAAAGCATTTTCTTCAAGTATCTCTCGAAAGCTTGTCATCTTACTGAGAGGAACTCCTGCTCGTAGGAAGGCCATGACAACTTTGACGCGGTAGACACGTTGATCTTGGGGCAAAGTTTCTCCAACTGGGTGGAGTTCTTTGTCTGAGGAAACTAGTGCCTCGGCTATATCACTTTCTGCCTTCTCTTTCTTAGCCACGCGCTCTTTCCCTGCTCGATGTTTTGTTGATTTGAGATGGTTGTTTATCACGCTACTCACTAGAGAAAGCTCCTCTCGACAGGCTCTACAAAAGAGCCGCTTGTTTGATACAGTCAGGCACTCACCAGGATGCTCGCTCACTCGTTGTCTTGGAGTCACCGATTTAGGTTCATTGGCTCCACGTCCACGAGATCGACGCTTTCCCGTAGGCGGAGGGTTTCTATGGACCGCCCTCTTTCTCGCCAGGTCTGATGGCCTGGGAGCACGCAAGTGAGGCAAAAGTAAAGAAGGTTCTGAGAATGAGTCGCCACTGCCAGAACAGACGCTCGATGTATCAGCAGCGGGTGTAACAGAGCTCGCAGAGAGAGACGCAGACGACGAGGAGGGTGTCGAGGGATCCGGATACTCCATTTCATTCGGTTTATGGCGGGCTTGGGTACACCCGGGTGCACCGGTGTTCATGCACTAAGCATATGCGCATGCGTAGATTGGACCGAAAATTCCCTAAAATTCGCGAATTATGCGAATCCTGGGAAGTTCCTATTATTCCAAGGATTATGCTAGCGTAATTGGCGCAGGCCTACCACCAGGTATGCATACACGTGGAGTATAGATCTCATTGCAGAGTCCAACTCAATGGAAAGTCAATGGCTGTAGTATGTAGAGTGTATGCCAGTGCTGGTATTGATTGTAGGACACCACGCACGATGCGAGTTATGAGTCCCGCTACATATTCTCACTGCTCCTGGAGCCCCGAAGCCTACTTGTCTTACAGAATGACATGTACACCAGGTATCCGTAATGATATTGATTGACTATTGATTTTGGTAACCTTACGAACATGGTACTTGCACAGTGTAGTGTGACATCATTGTCAAAACATCATTAGAGTACTCAACTTAACAAAAAACAATATTTGGATGACTAGGTGGGCTTGCTTGACGATATATAGAACGAGGGTTGTTTGTAAACTACTGCACATAGAACATTACTAGGAGTTTCATTTTTCGCGGGTTTCACGCTTATATAGTACGCTTATATAGTACGCTTATATAGTACGCTTATCTTATATAGTACGCTTATATAGTACGCTTATATAGTACGCTTATCTTATATAGTACGCTTATATAGTACGCTTATATAGTATGCTTATATAGTACGCTTATATAGTACGCTTATATAGTACCACGTAATACATTGCGGTATGTGACAGTGCCTGTGCATTTTATACAAAAGTCCCGTATTCAGACGACTAGGTGGGCTCACTTCGCTCACCAATAATGTGAATGGCTTATAACGAAGCCTAAATACTACGATCACATCAACCTCTGCAGATATCTACATGGAATATCGCAGAGAGAGAAAGACACGGTCTCTGATCAACAGAGAGTGGCTAATGGCTCCAGGCTGGGTCAGCCCCTGTCATTTGCAGAGGAATTAAACAGATCCACTCGTGTCTCCCTCACCATAAGACACGTTCCGAAAACATTCAAAATAAAACTCAAACTAAAATGAATCAGACAGCACAAAATATTCAAAATTCATTATGATGTATAGCTATAATGTCTGAAGTCAGTATCTCAGCTATATACTAGACTAAGACTACAATTGAGATTGTACACAGCTAGACTGGCTATAGGAGGAGAACAAGAGCCAGAGGCAGTAGGAGATGAGCCAGACTCACCACCACACCACTAACACCGGAGGCTGTGGTGGAGAAATCACCCAGTCACATTATTTTCTCACTCTTTTGTGAGTGAACTGTGCTACTCAACTGAGACATTAGGAGTACAATAGGCATTATGAGTACAATGAACAACCACTGGTGTTTGTATTACTGTTAATTACTTCACTACCATCACTACCACCACCTCCCACACGGAACCAAGACGTAATCTGAGACTGTTGAGCACTATAATCTCAGCATGCTTGGGGGAACTGCTAGTTTAAATTCTCTAACACTTACTTGGACACTCTGGTGCAGTAGGCAGTGGGATGACTGTGTATGTCAGAACAGTGTTATCAACACCTCTGTTGTCCCCTGTGTTTATCACCACCTGCACAATGATGATGGAGTAACATCTTTTGTGCAATGGGATTAAAAAAATCGTGCTCACCCCCACTCCAATGGCGTCTTCCATTTGATCAATAGTGATGACGAGAGGAAACGCCAGTAAAAGGTAGACACCGGTTGTGTTAGCCTCCACTCTACCAGCTGAGCCACCAAGTGGAGTGAAAATCTCCATCGCAAACGCCGCATCCATGTTGCACTCTCTCACGACCGAAATGTCGATACTGTAGAGAAAACCGTCAGCAAACAGGTCCGTGGGGCAGAGCAGAGTATCGCAGGCCTCGTTGGGAGAGCACTGGAAGTAGTAAAGCGGCATCTCCGCAATCTGCTTCAGCGCGTCGCAGTAGGTGGCTGGTCGGGGTGTGGGGGAAGGAGACGGGGTCGGAGTAAAGTCTGGGGTACACTCGGTCGCATTGGGTAGTTCTGTCGGCGTATTTATAAAAAAGAACTCATAATTGCGGGTGTTGAATTTGTTGGCAATGTCGACGACAGAGAGACCTTCGGGGGCCCTGTCGGGGAAGTCTACCTCGATCACGTTCAGGGTCTTCCCGTACTCCATCCTCAGATCCAGACAGTCTCTGGTGACGTTGTAGGTGATGGTATTGCAGATTTCGGCCGTTCTGTAAATGCAGTTGCCTCGACTCCCGATGGCGTCAATCGCCCACAGGTCGGTGCACACATTGCAGGCTCCACGAGAGAAGTCGATGAGACCGTCGCAGCTGTCCTTGATCACCTGACTGGGACTAGTGCTGGGGACTGGGTCGTGGGCCCACGGCTGGTCCCCCAGTTGAAGACTCTCATGCACAAACACAAACACACGTTCGTTTCTGTTAGCGGCTAATATCAGTGTCGGCCATTCTCCAGTGGTGTTGAATGCCGAGTTCATTGTCAGGAATGGTCTGCTCCTCTTCGTCTTGAGAGGCTGAACGGTCCAGTAACTCTCCAGGAGTTCATTCAAGGCATTTGCTATGGGCTCCGATCGTGAGCGGTCATAGTCTCCATTGAAAAACAGGGACACAATCTCAAAGTAGTTCGGAGACATATTGAGCCAGTCGTTGACTTGACGCAAGATTTCGTCAACTTTTCCGGCGTAGCCATTACTGTGGCATGTCCAGAGTCCTGCAGAGACGGCTGTGGTGGCCTCTCCATCTGTCACCCAGCAGAGGTCAATGTCGAACCAACGGATGCCAAAATCCAGCTGTGCGGTGTAGTTTAGGTCCTGGTTCCTGTAGACGCAGCCAGGGGTGGGGAAACCGTTGCGAAACACCAGGGGCCCGTTGAATCCGGAGCCAGAGTTGTGTGTACCGGGCCACGTGATCTGGTTGTAGTCGAGGTTGCAAATGTCATCTCTTCCCATGATCAGGGGGCATGAATCGCCCCTCTTGTTGTGGACTGCTGCAGAGCAACAATAAATGTACTGACTTAGTGCAAAACAGCTGGGTCATCATACTGTCAGGCATGGACATTGATTTCACTGCTGTAGGCCGATTGAATTCCTAGCTATCAGCACCTATTGGTGGTAGCTGTCTCTTTTGTCATTGCACCAGCAGCATGTTGGGATTATAATTTGGAAGGAAGGGTGTGTGACTTACCTCATCTACCAGTGGAGTCACTGAGACTATATATGTATAATATTAACCTCAAAGTTCATGTTATAGGCATTCCTTAGGCTTAGCAACCAACCACGCCATGCTGCATGAAACACACCTTACTCTTTGAGTAGTATACCTGTGGGTGTGTGTGTGTGTGAGCCAAGCCAATGCTCATCAGTAATGAACACCTTATCAGTGTGAGGAGTAATTAACACTTTATTACATTCCAATCTGGGCCAAAGAAATTCCTAACCACATACAATGTCATAGTACAAGTGCTAACAGAGCTAGCTAGTGGTGGTGGAGAGGAGGCTTCTGTTTGCCTGGTAGGTATTTAGCACGTGGATAGCTAGCTAACTGCCATTTTTACTGCAGTTCTGCCACTTTGCATTGCGTACAAGAATAGTTCATGTTATAGGCATTCCTTAGGCTTAGCAACCAACCACGCCATGCTGCATGAAACACACCTTACTCTTTGAGTAGTATACCTGTGGGTGTGTGTGTGTGTGAGCCAAGCCAATGCTCATCAGTAATGAACACCTTATCAGTGTGAGGAGTAATTAACACTTTATTACATTCCAATCTGGGCCAAAGAAATTCCTAACCACATACAATGTCATAGTACAAGTGCTAACAGAGCTAGCTAGTGGTGGTGGAGAGGAGGCTTCTGTTTGCCTGGTAGGTATTTAGCACGTGGATAGCTAGCTAACTGCCATTTTTACTGCAGTTCTGCCACTTTGCATTGCGTACAAGAATAGTTGCTGATAACAATGCAAGCCGACCCTATATACTTGGAGTCATATACTTGTGGCCTCTAAACTGTTACAAAGGGAAGTGTATCGAACACCCTACTGATCGACATCTTACCTCCTGCGGCTGCGGCGTGATCAGCTGCAGCAGTAGCGCATTGGTAGAGAATTGCCACCAAGGCCAGAGCACGTACTACAGGTATGCTGCAAACTCTCTCCATGATCGTCTGGTCCAATCCGAATATAATATACCGCGGGAGCTCTCTCATGCGTCTTATATGCAGGATTCCTGGCACACTACGCATGCGCGACAGTGGTAGCGCATCGTTTTGTGCTGAATCTGCAATTTTGACTGAAGGTGTGCGTTAATTGGAGAAAAATGTCCAGCGTCTGTTCGCAATGCGGTGGCACTGACATAGAGTACGACCAGGCGCGCGGCGACGCCGTCTGCACGAGCTGCGGCTCCGTGCTAGAAGACAACATAATCGTCTCCGAGATCACGTTCCAGGAGCAGAGCAGCGGGGCGTCCACCGTCGTAGGCCAATTCGTCTCCTCCGAAGGTGGGTTCAGCTATTAGTCAGCATCGGTCGATTCTTGCGAAATTTTTGTCCGTTCAGGTGGAAAGAACCCGCTCAGTGGAACGGGGTTTCATCATGGGATGGGTAAAGATTCTAGAGAGGTCACTCTGCAGCAAGGTAAGGCCGTAGATATACCTTGGTAAGACTGCTACGGTGGTGTGCCGTGATCTGCCTTACCACTCTGGGTCCCAGCCAAAAAGAGACTCACAAACCTCGGGAACCTGCTCAAGCTCAACCACCACTGCATCGACTCGGCGTTCATGTTCTTCAAGATGGCGCTCAACCGTAACCTCACGCGAGGTCGTAAATCCAGCATTGTGGACACTGCCTGCCTCTACCTAGTCTGTCGCAGTGAGGGCACTCCACGTATCTACTTTCTTTCACATGATACACAATGCATGTAGTTTCTTGCACTTTCCTTGCTTTTATACACAAATGAGTGATGCAGCACAGAGTTTTTTTAGTTGTCTAGTAGCCTCAATCATTGGTTTGTCTTTAACACTTGCTCAAAGATCTATTGCTGGATTTCAGCGATGTTTTGCAGGTGAGCCTTAAGACTGTACTCTATCAGGAGGTGTGTTGTATTAATCCGGCGTGTATGTGGCTGTGCAGATCAACGTGTATGCTCTGGGCAGGGCCTACCTCAAACTGGCCACTGCTCTGCACATCAACCCACCAGCTATTGGTAGGTGTATAGTTACAGAAACCAATATCTAGATTTAGCATCCGTTAAACTTGGTTGAAAACCAACAGTTCAAATGAGATATAATTATTATGAAATACAGGTAAAGAGAAAGGCATGGAGATTATAATAGTGTATCTTCATACTTAATACAAACAGTGCTCTATTTCAACCGTTTATTAATCCGAAGTCATATGTTACCTGCATAATATCTATGCACAAATAGTATGATATTAGGTGGACTTCACTGTGTTAAACCCATACTCGTTAAACCATGTTGTTTCTCTCACCAGACCCGTGTCTCTACATCCACCGGTTTGCCCACAAGCTGGAGCTGGCGGAGAAGACCCACGAAGTGTCGGTGACGGCCATGAGACTGGTGGCCAGGATGAAGAGAGACTGGATCCACCACGGTCGGAGACCTGCGGGACTCTGTGGGGCAGGTATATACAGTATACACTGCTCCATGTGTATGGTGGTATGTGTGTGGGTCAAAGACACTGACACAATGTTTGAACACAGTTTGCACGCAAGGCTGAAGGTATATGGGATCACAATATCTTAACTTACGTGTTATGAAAAGCTCATTCTCATTATTTCGTTGACTTACATAATATTTTGGTAATAATGCCAGGGAATATTCCTTCTATTTTCAGTGATGCTTTAGAGCCTGCATTATGTACGATATCCACCTTGTATACTACTCTTTGACAGTCTGTATCTAGTGTAATGGTTACGTTTCCTTATTTGTGTGCTCTCCGTATGTACCAGCACTCCTGGTGGCTGCCAGACTGCACAACTTCAACCGGTCGGTGCGGGAGGTGGCCAAAGTGGTGAAGCTCTCGGAGGGTACCATCAGGAAGAGGCTGGGGGACTTCAAGGACACGGCGTCGAGTCGACTCACCATCGACGAGTTCCTCAAGATCGACCTGGAGCAGGAGCACGACCCTCCCAGCTTCAACGACGCCAAGAAGAAGTCCAAACAGCAGCAACAACAGCACCAGACAGTGAGTGAAAACATAGCAGAGTGTTAGCTACTGATCCTACACTCTTTTTTAAAACTATTAAAGCAGGTCACACCTTACTAGTTTTTCCATGTTGAACTTGTCCTGTGTTCAAAATATCTAGACAAGAGCTTTTATCAAGTGAGACTGTTCTTGTCCCCACACACAGGATTCGGGCAGTGAAGGGTGAAGTGGGAGAGGAAGGTGACGTTGTGAGGTCCAAAGAGAGAGGGGAGGAGGGCGAAGAGGAGGAGGAGGAGGGCGGCAGGGGAGGAGGTGGTGGGTTTGGAGGCATCGTCATTGGCTCAGTGGAGGTCTGTGTGTGACAGCTGATGTGGTGTGTTACTGGTATCGCGTGGTTCACCAATAATGTTACTAGGCACCAATATGTGGCCGTGGATAGTGTAGTTTTGGATTTGACCTACTAAGTTGTGTGTACCGTAATGCAAAGGGAAGTGAAAGATTGTAGCAAACAATGAGAGTGTCACACTATTTTGTATCCATTGCAGGAGACAATAGAGAGGGCGAGAATAGCTGAGGCCTTCATGAATGCCTCCTCTACAGCAGGACTCTCTGAGAATCTGGACACTCTTGCCACACTGGTTGATCAGGAAGACAACGGTCAGTAGATACTGTGTATATACAGAGCGGGAAACAATTCTGGGAGAAAGCTTGCGAATACTTTAGTTTTACAAAGGTAAGGTTTGTGAGTGTGGATCATTTGTTGGACTATATAGCAATCCATGAAATATTTCTCTGCTAATTTTTTTTTACTTGCCACCCAATCGCAAAGGTTTGAAATGTCTTGCTGTAATTATCCATCCTTATCTATGATTATAGTCAGTTTCATGTGGCTTTAAGCCATGCTGTGTCTGTTGTTAGGTGTGGCAAGACCATGTGAAAGACCGGAGGACAGTGAGCTTAATCTGGAGGGCATCGACGACAAAGAAATTGAAATGGTATCCAAAACCCACATGTTCAGCTTATGGGCATTATGAATTTTATAATTTATATGTTCTTCTAACAGATGTTACTTTCGGAGGAAGAGGCAAAGATAAAGGCACAGCTCTGGTACAGTGAGAATGCAGACTTCTTAAAAGAGCAAGAAGGTACGTTGGGGAGGTTCTTACTATGTGCATGCATATTATGTATGAGACTAGCAGTGATTTGAAAACCTTGTGTTCAGTAAAACGAGAAAAACTTGCTGCCCTGGAAGCCGCCAAAGCCGACAAACCCAAAAAGGTTACAACTATTGTTATACTAGTTGCATGCATAGCTATAGTGTCATGTAATTTTAATAATGATGGGCATGTGGTTAGAAATACAACAAGAGGAAGACCAGGGTGAGCCAGCCAGCCAGCACCGCCGGAGAGGCCATTGAGAGAATGCTCGTCGAGAGGAGAATATCGACAAAGATAAACTACGACGTCTTGAAAGACTTGGACAAGACAATGAGCAGTCAGGGGGAATCGAGTCACCAGCCAACTCTGGTTGAAGAGCCCGGTGCTAGTAGACACTCTGTGGCAGGGGTGACCTCAGAGACCTCTCAGGGTGGGCTGGGGGAGGGTGGAGACGAGGGGGTCGCGGGGTTCAGTGGGTGTGGCTCACCTCCAGTGACCCCCAGATCACCCCTGGTCCCTGGGAGGAGAGACAGACTGCCTTCTCTCCAGTCGAGGAAGCGATCGCTCCCCTCCTTTGCCAGAGGTTCTCAGGCCCTCTCTCCCAAGTGAGCCTGCTCTGTGTACCTATATACTACATCGGAATATCCAGACACTAATGGAGCAAAAGAAAGTGTCCGTATTAGTGAGGTGTCCTTATTTCTGGGGTGAAATTTCACGCATGACCTGTTTTTGGGGAAAGAAATGGTGTCCTGTCTCTAGAGAGGTGTCCTCGTTTCGGGTGTTTCCTTAGAGAGTTATTCCACTGCGTACATTGAGATTAGTCAGAGCGTATGTGATTCATATTTTCGCCAATGTTGTACAGGCTACCTCGACTGCAGACTAACACAGTGGAACCTGCTCTACCAGTATCGCCACCAGTAGTAGACTCACAACTCACTGCCTCTGACAGCAGACAGCCAGCACTGATAGACCATAGTCTGTCACTAACTACTTCTTTGTCCGATTCACTACCCGAGATTAGTTTGAGAAGTCCAGATTTGGTGGGGGTGGGAGGGAGTGAGGTGGAAGGGGGAGGGGGTGTGGTTTCTGAGATGGTGGAGGAGAGTGGGCTTGTGGAGTACAGTGATGGTGAGGAGGAGGAGGGAGGGTTTGGGGACGCCGACATGGATGAGCTAGCTTACGAGGGTGACCCTTTGTTATACAGTGATGGCGAAGAAGGTAAGCATGCTTTCCTCTAGGACACAGTGGTAGTTACGTCATGCATGATTGTGGTTGTGGTTTGGAAACACTTAGCTAAACACAGATAGTTTTCTGGTAGTAGAGATGAAATTGAAACAGATGTTAGTTGACACAGTTGTGCAGCTTTTGTGCATCTCTCTCACTGAACACTGAACACACACTCATAATAACAGGAGATGAGTATATATTATGACTGATGGTCTGTGACATTTTCAAAATAACCCTTGCAGAGATTTGAATAAGGGGAGTGATCTAACTGATTCATCATCCCATTTGATTCATACTGTTTTGTTCTGAATATTTTGTGGTAACGTTACTTCTGAGCCAGCGTTTGCTGCACAAGAGCAACTTTAGACAAAAATACTGACATCATTTTAACAGCTAAAAGTATACACGTCATAATAATGTCCTTGCATGCACAAAACCAAAAAACTGCTGTGGTCTACATTTTACCACTGGTGTGACTCTGTTCTAGACATTTAGCCAACATAGTTGTCAGACGTACAGTTTGTAACAACATAATATTGCAGTACACTGCGAAGTTCTGAGTATATTGTGGCCCTCGCTTGAGTCGTATCTGGACATCCTCCAGTAGTACCATTTGGTACCTGAATTGCTTCAAACAAAATTGGTTGTCGAGCTGCAGTGAAAGGAAAACAGTGAAGATTACCCCATTGTAGCAATGCACTATCAGAAAGCAAATACAAGTAAATTGTAATGGCTATATAGGAGGGCTTGTTTCGCTCGCCAATAACAGGTGACAAAAATCAACAAAACAACACAGAAAGTGCATTTACAACATTTTAAGTTGATTTAGGCTCTTTACAGTTAGACAGGTGTACCGGTATGTGTGTGTGGTTCTGGTGTTGGTGTGTTAACGTCACCTTGGACTGTGACACTTGTAGTTTCACTGCCGGTCCCCACAGCACTGACTGCGGAGCAGGTGTACTCACCTCCCTCTGACCCACGGACACCAACTATAGTCAGAGTGGTGCTGTACGTCTCCACAGTCACTCGATGATCTGACGAGTTACTCAGTTGAATGCTGCCTCTGGTCCAATAGACGTAGTTTGGCGAGGGGTTCCCCACAAATAAACAGGTCAATTGCAGGGTGTCACCCTCTGAGACGACCAGTGTACCCCCCTCACTGATAACCACCACAGGAGGATCTGAGTACAACAAACAAGAGAAATAATCTCTATCTCGGGACTGTGAACTTCAGAAAGTTACATGCTGAAAAATATAGAGGCAAAACATAAATACAATCTTGAATCTGAACTATACGAGGTGCTGTTTGTTCCAAAACTCATTCTCCAAAAATGCATAGGGTATATGTCCACTATAATATATAAATTTGCTGCAATAATAAGGATATCAACGAAGACATCGACCAGAGAATAAAGCTGCATAGCCAAGGGTGGGTGTGGCGTGCGCATGCGTCAAACTCCTAAAATGGACTCCGGCCTACCACTTTCTTATGGAATTATGCACTCAAGCGTCCTTTGCCATGCCTCCCATGTCAATTATATTCAGTGGAGTCATAAATGTCACGGTCGATTTATAAATATCGTCGTCGATTTATATAAATTTCATGGTCGATTTATAAATGTCATAGTAGCTACATATCCTAAATTTTTGCAGGAAATTTATATATAGTGGACATAATATTACCTATGCGTTTTTGAAACAAACAGCACCCTGCAGAACTACACAGAAAATCTCGCTTTGGTGCCTGGCACCCACAATAAAGAGTCCATTGTAGTAGTTTTTTCTTACACCGGATAATGACGATGACAGTGCTGTTGGTTGCAGCACTGGTGGTGGGATCGGTGGCCACGCAGGTGAACGCTCCCATCATGTCTCTGGTGACGTTCACGATCTCTAGGCTCCCAATGGTACTGAGCTCTGCTCCAATAGGAGAGAACCACTGGAGAGTTTGGCTGCGGGTCGGCATAGCTGTTGGCTCCTCTGCAAACCAGATTCAGTGTACCACCCTCCGTGATAGTAGTCTCTCCACTGATTACTGGTAGGTCTGAAACTGAAGTATATACATTTCAGGTCTCAGCTATACAATATAGCTACAGAGTTAGGCTCACTTTGCACCATGACAGAGTCAGTAGCGTTAATTATAAAACTGGTTGTGATAGTATAAGTAGCCACACAGGTGTATATTCCTGCCATGTCCCTGGTGAAATTAGTAATTACGAGGTCTGCAGTCTGTGTGATCACTTGTCCAGCTGAGTCCAACCACATGAGAAATGGGGAAATGATAGAGATGGGTGCATTGCATTGCAGGAGGAGATCATCGCCTTCAACTATTGTTGTCTCTCCTGTAATCACTGGTGGCTCAAAACTTGCACATTGTATAACTCTAACATTACAGTGATGCAGTCTTAGTGATAAACCTACTCTCAACATACACTGCTGCAGTGACATTGTCGATGCCATTACTGCAGCTCAAAGAAAAGGCAGTGCTTGTGCTCCCAGTGCCAGATTCTGCACCACCAAATGTCTCCTCCGTGTCATACACCATCAGGACTCCTCCTTCCATTTGGACGCTGCCGGGGTACATTTCTATGTCGTTAAAGACTGCATCTGTAGCCAACGAGTTGTTGAAAACGCAGCTGATGCACGCATCTCCAGCTGGGACTACTGTGACCGGTGCAGTCAGCGGTACAGTCACAGAGCAGTTGGTTGTAGCATTCTGGGATTGCACTGCGGGCGAGGAATGGGGAAGTTATAGTGAACAGGCCTTGCACAATTTTATTCTTACTTCCTGGCCAGAGTGAGCACGCCATTAACATGGCGAGAAGCACCAGCTTCCTGCTGAAGGTAAGACTACACATCGCGCTGCACGCACGTATATTATACTGGTGGTTGAAGTGCGTGCGTGCTCGACCTTTTATAGAGTGCGCGCCGACATGATCCGCGCGCGCATGCGCATCACAAAACACCTACTCCGTCCCCCCACCAGTAATAATATGGATCACCGGGGGCAAATAAACCTATGACTTTATGACACGCATGAATGTCTAGGGGTATTCAATACATTGGACTCCGGCCTCTTCTTTGGTTACGGCGGTTTCTGTACTGCCCACGGTTGGAGCCATGAGCAAGTTGAAGTCCATCAATCCTCTGTTCCAAGGTCCTCATATCGACGACTAAACCTTTCATCCAAGTGGTTAATTTTACCACCAAGAGTTTCATATTTTTGAAGCATCTCCTTGTCTATATCTTCAACCTTGCGAGAGAGTGCTTCGTTCTTACTGGTGAGCTCTTCGTTCTTTTGCACCAGATCTTTGTTCTTGTCCGACAGTTCTTGAAGAGATCTGGCCATCATCAGTAGATGATCCTGCATGTTATCACGGCAGTGGGCATCCATCTCTCTCTGTGACGTCTTAACAACACAGCCCATGTGGGTGAACGGACAGTCGGCAGGCTGAAGGGGACACCTGTGAATCTTCAAGTCTTTGCATTTGATGCCCTTCTCCCCGCACCCATGCGGACAGTCTACTGGGAACTTTTCACACTCATCGTAGTGCCAACCCTCGAGGAGCTGGTAGAATTTGAAGTTTTCTTGTCCAGTTATTGAGGCAAAGGTTCCCTCAGTCCCGCAGTACTCGCACGTATACGGTCGAAACTCGCACTCTTTCTTATGGTTTTCAACATTTGAACGTGTGACAATGCAAGCATTGCTGCCAAACGGGCACTCCACCTGCTCCTTGGCGCACTTGTTTCGGTGAGCCTTCATGTTCCTGCGTTTGATGCCCTTTGCGCCGCACTTGTTGTAGCACTCCAGTGAAAACTGTGGGCACCCCTCGTAGTGATTACTTCACCTTTCACCTCCGAGTCTTCCTTCCTCACACGTCCGCTTCCTGCTATGGCATCATACGTGTCTTCATAGCCGCAGTGCTCTCGCAAGTGTACATGCGGTACACACACTCTGTCTCCTGGTGCTCTCTGAGATGACACCTCTCCATCTTGGCATGGCACGTTTCCAACATTTTGTCGCCGTAGCTCTCAAATCCACAGTCTGGCAGCTCGACACCCCCCAGTCCCAGAACGGGGACCGAAACATGCACGAGAGAATGGATCATTGGGGAAAAGAGGCTCGGTGTGGACCACCACAAACCCAGAGAGTTGACAACAGACGATGACATAGTCGCAAGATTCTAGGTGTGTTGTTTCAGTGCCCCCAGTTCCCCCTGCCACTTACACCCTTTCTTGCTGTGAGTGCAGCGAACGCGGAGCTCGCTAATCTCCCGTATCTTCTCCTTGTTCAAGATGCTTTGAAAATTCTCGCTGCGACAGTGCGGGCAGGTTTTCTTTCTAGTCGACCGGCCGCCGAAACTGCCGCTGGTGCCCGTCCAGCGAGCGAGGCAAGAGTCGCAGAAATGCTGGCCACAGCAGGCAGTGAGGCGGGCATCCCTCAGGACCTTTTCGCAGATGACGCACATGTACTTGTCGGAGACAGAGTCCGCGAAGTCGTGCTCATACCCTCCCGAGTCGTTCCCTGCGGCGTGGAACACCATTCAACTACGCTCGACATGTAGCTAACTCCTTACCTGGGTCACCGCTACCCCGCCACATGCCATCATCAACGCCTCCTGGGGCCTCGGTTCTAGTTCTACGCCTTTATAAGCGCCTCTGTCCAGATCCTCGTCCCAGGCCCCACCCGCGAGGTATAGGTATATATACTGCATGCGCACTGCATGCATATGCATACACTGGGCCGGCTAAGATCACGTGTGCACGGACCACACTGCACTGATGCTTGCATGCTGCGCCTGCGCACTGCGGTAACTTCGATAATTATAATTACACTCGTTCTGGTGTAATATGGGTGAAAATCACATTGTTTGAGTGTGAGCAACAGGAGTTATCATGCTAGTCTAATAATACTTCTATTGTCTCGCTAATTTATAGTTTCACAGAACTTCATGGGGGTGATTGTCAGCTTCGTTAGTGGGTTTACGAGGGGGGATGACAGGTGGGGGAACCGTTTGGAATACTCTCTCGGATATGGCATTCGAGACCATTATAGGGAGCTGACCTGTACGGGAGATTAATAATTGGAGATGACTGAGTTGATAACAACAGGTGTGTGAAAAATTAAGTGTGGTTACAGTATAGGGAAGTTAATTGCGTATCACCTGAGATGTAGACCTGTCTGAGGGAGTGAGCCAGGTCATGATGACCAATGCTGTCCACCACATCAGCTATCTCCCTCCACGTGGGCTTGTTGGGGTGGAGGTTGGCCAGCCATCCATCCACCACCTCTACCATTGCGCCACTCTCACTACCCACCTGGACGGAGAGAATTTGCAGAATGCACCATTAACCTTGTGTAAATTGAATGGTTAACATACGTATTGAAGAATTTCGTCCAGCCTGTGTACACCAACTGCCTCTCCCAGTCTCCTCCAGTGAGGAGTGACTTCTCTCAACTGAATGAGGATCTGGTCCAGACACACAAAGGTGTCAGGTGGTGGTGGAGTCACTACAGCATCGTGGTCCAGAGAGGCATACTGGACGATATCCATTTCAGACTGCTTCAGACGGGCATCAATCTTGGATATTATGCCCAGCTGAGCATATTTCACATTCTAAGATTGATGTGTAACAACACACTCTCATTCACAGCATTTTGTAAAGCAACATCAGTTTTGATTGGGTTGACTTGAACACACATGTGGGACAGTGTGTATTATACAAACATTATTCTAACCTCGACACTGACAACAACAGGCTGTGGAGGGGGAGGAGCTGGCTGCGTTGGCTCACGGAATGTGCCAAATATTCCTCCACCATCCTGTATGGAACAAGTGTAGAGCTAGCCACCACGTAATAATATTTCTCACGATTTACTTCTTGAACAAGTCTCCTGTGGGTTGCTGGGGGGTTGTCTGCAGTGTCTGGCTCATATCTTGTCTGGACCACAGAAATCCCTCCACTGAGCTGCCCTGCTGTCATCCGCACCTCTCCATATGCTGGATTTTGCACTGTTTTCTTATTTTCCTGCTCCCGGACCACTCCACCTGGCTGTACCACTGTGGATTGGTCTCCTTTTGTCTGTTCCGGTTCGGTACTGGCCACAGTGGACACGTTAATGGTCTCTGCAGTCGCTAGTACTGATCTTGGTATTGAGTACAACTCATTCAGCGCTGCCTCATGGCCAGTGAATGTAGTGCTTGTTGGGTCAGGGTTACCCTCCTCATTATCATTGCAGGAAGAGTAGTGGGCAAAGGTAATTACATGCTCTCCTAGTGCTCTGTGTGATTAAGCTTTATTATAGCACCCCATGAACAATAAATAAAAACCTGTTTTGTTTCTTCTTTTTCGTATCTGAGGCAGAAAATGTAACCTCAATGGCAACAGTGTGGTGTGTATATTGGTGGACTCACTTGTTTGTCTCCTTCTCAACACACACACCACTGCTATTACAGGCACCGCTATCAAAATGCCAGCAATGCAAATGACAGCAACAGCAACTGGTACAATGACCTCCTCTGGTACTGACGACCTTGCACCATCGTCTTTCACCCTTGGCATTTGTCCTATAGCGGAGCAGAGAAAGAAATCCAGGCACTTTTATACAACTAAAACTTGCCCATAAGGGACAGAACAGAGTGAATGCATATAAACTCCTCCATCTGATGGTAATAGAGTCCCAATGCTAAGATAGCCTCCAGCACCTGTTTCGCAGTCCAGAGTAGAGAGAGGGTGAGGGTCCCATACTCCAGTACTGGTACACTGAGTAGTGTACACATCAGTGGCACCATCTCTACACTGATAGGTAGCAGTACTGCCCACTGCAGTGGAGCTCATGTTGACTATGATGGCGTCTGTTGACTTCAATGTTGGACATTCAACTGTATGTGCAATATTTAAATGAAAATGGGACAACACTTTCAGCAACCTTACTTGAAACTATGGTGATATCCACGGTGGTGTTCATAGTAGCAGTGGAGCGAGGGAGAGTAGCTACACAGGTGTATATCCCAGTCATATTCCTGGTGGTAGTCACTATATCAAGTTCCCCACTCTCACTGACCATCTTCCCATCAGGAGAGATCCATTGTAAAATTGGTTGAGGGTCTGAGTTTGACCCATCACACAATAGATGTAACGTATTCCCTTCAGTAACCTCTGTTTCCCCCATAATGGATGGGGGGTTGAAAACTGGTGGAGATAATTGTTAGTGATAGTGATACCAAAAATCTACGTAGTTACATACCTTTAAAGAGCAAAACTCCTACTTTTGCCATGAAAAACGCATTGCATAAACGTTTCTCACAGCATTGTATGTTTGTATCCCAGAATGTACTGAACACACTGCCACTGCCATTCACTACCAGTGTATCTGAATGATCATGTGGATATTCTTCACAACTCTTCCCAGAGTGCTGTTGGGAAGTAACAACTGTGTCATTCACCCTGAACACCACCTCATTAGTGAAAACAGAAATTGGCGTGTAGTCACATTCGAAGCATACTGTATCCAGGGAGGCATTCACATAGATGATGGTGTTATTGACACTGGTAAGGTTCACAGTTGTCCCACAATCCTCAGGTCCTGGCTCAGATGAAGTAGACTGTAGAAAGATTCAAACCAAGCATTGTGAGCATAAATACTGTGTAGACCTACCACAGCTCCACCAGAGCCAACAAATTAACAAATAAACGGAGAACATTTCGCATAAACAGCGGTTCATTCTGCCACTGACGGACCCTCTAGCTTCTCTCAATAGGCAAATGGTGAGCGCATGCGCAATTGCGCAACACGGGTGTGCGCCATGTGCGCGCAGATGCGCGTGCGTATCGCGCGCGGCCGCGAGCGCACAGAGGCGCAGCGTGGTGTTGTTAGCTGCAGATAGAAGTAGAGAGAGAGGGGGAGGTTTCAATCATGTTTAAGATTGCCTACACCAACACTTGGAGGTCATAATCTCTTAGTTGTACTTGCATCGGAACAGGTGAAACATACAATCTCAGTCCAGTACAAGTGTAGATATCTATTGACCAATGTGACTGTTACGTGTGATGGGATTTGTAATGCATGATATGAAAGTCTTGGGCACTTGGACTTTGAATAGTGTGTTTTGATACATAAAACAAGAATTGTCACACAGAGTCTGCTGGAGAGCTAAGCTGAGCATTTGTAGGATTTCAGTGGTATGGGTGGAGGAGTATCGGAAGACTTGCTCCTGTCATTATTAGGTTCACGAGAGGGTATGAGGGGTGGGGCCTCGTTTTGATACATCACACTATCAGGAACAGCATTGGAGACCTCAATGGGTAGCTCCCCTGCAATAAAACAAATTGTCAAAAGAGAAGAGGTCATGTGTATACAATTAGTTCCAATATACATTGTCTGTGGCATCTACTCACAACACACTTTACCAAAGGCATGCACACTTTGTCCAAGTGGGGCAAATCACCTGAGATGTAGACCTGTCTGAGGGAGTGAGCCAGGTCATGATGACCAATGGTGTCCACCACATCAGCTATCTCCCTCCACGTGGGCTTGTTGGGGTGGAGGTTGGCCAGCCATCCATCCACCACTTCCACCATTGCCTCATACTCACTACCCACCTAGACGGAGAGAGATCACAATAAGACAATACATTATTCCTCTGGTTGACATACATATTCAGATATTTCGTCCAGCCTGTGTACACCAACTGCCTCTCCCAGTCTCCTCCAGTGAGGAGTGACTTCTCTCAACTGAATGAGGATCTGGTCCAGACTCACCTTTGAATCTGCAAAAAGTGATACACACTATATACCGTCTTTCACAGCATAATACTTTTAACTATATAGTAGCTACTTGGTTTTAGCATGCTGTATTTATTAATTCAACTGCGCTTGAGAACCAAAAAACTTTTAAGGGATTGTAAATGACTTTTTGCAGGTATATACAAGCAAGTATGGCTTTAAGAAGGTAGAAAGAATACTCAGAGTAGTATAAAAGGTATACCCTTACAGACCCCCTTTGAGTGCACATTAAAAGTGATAGCACACTTCTGAAGAGTACTACAATAGGCCCCTTGAAAATCTGCTGAGCATAGGTCTGACCAGCATACTAAAAAACAATGAGTTAGCTTTTGACCTAGATCGTGTGTCTGAGGAGGTGGTGGTTGTTGGCTAGCCATGGCATTGAGGTCCAGAGCGGCATACTCGACTCTATCTGCAACCAGACCAAAACCACCTCCTTCTGTGTTTAGACTCACTTCTGCATACAGCAGACCCTAGGAAACAACATGGGCTGGAGTCACATGAGCATATAGTGCATTTGCATGTACATACATACCTTGAAACCTGTATCACAAACTTGAATGGTCCACTTATGAATGTGCAAGCACTTTTACGGAGATTGAAATGAAAACACTGGGCTGGAGTCATCTGCTACACATGCCTTTCAGCAAATGTACTGTGTAAACACCCATTTTGGGAGGAATGTATAGTAAAGCTTTTTCACAAAATATCAGAGTAAACACTACAGTTTAGTTTGGGAAAAGGGGTGGCAGTAGAGACCGTGTAGAGGGGTGGGCATAATATAGTGGCTTGCATGCTGGGTACAAGAAAATCCACCCACATGTTTGTAAAAAGTGTATGCAATACATTGAAACAACTCATTTAACTTTTCAACAGTTGGGGAAAACATGCATTGGCTAAGACAGTCACCTTTTGTTGATTCCCTTGTGGTGGTTTCTGAGCTATTGTTCTGCTGGGTTCAGGTGTCAGGTTTTCTTCCACTGTCTGGACTACACAGTACGCACCAATGAGTCCTGTTGTGTGCTCTGAATATTGCTGCTGTCCATTTGGCTTTCTGGTTTCTTGTGGTACTTCTGGTGGCTGAGGCACAAGTGATTGTTCTAGTTCGTCCTGCGAGTCAGAATATGACCAGAATACCTCACTAGTTGGTTCTGGTATGATCGTGATCATTGAGTACTGTCCCAGGGGAATGGGAGGTGTGGTGGTAGGCTGGGGCTCTGAGGGTTTCCCATTGGGCTCTGCCGGTGTTGTTAGCTGTGACTCTATCATGATAGACCGCCCATTTAGTGATGTTGTTGCTGTTGTTCCTTTTGATGTTTTCTTGACCACAGGTGAGTACTGGGAATTTTGGACTGTCATTTGCTGCTGTTGATCACTATGGTTGACAGATACATCAAGTGCTGTGTTAGCTTCAACCCTTTTCTAGTTTAGCTCTAAGCGTATTCTAGTCCTGGAAGTGAGAGTGCCAATTAATGTTCTTTCACATGAACAGCATTGTAATTGTACATGCTCAGCTTTCAAAGGATACTATCATGGATGTCTACTATACATGACTAAAACTCGACTGTACTCAGTCTGTATGTATGTTCATTACCTATTTTCTCTCAGAAGGTACTGTTTTCTCTTTTCTATTATATATGGCATCAAGAAAATTTGGGAGTCAAACATAAACAGAACAGGTATTGGAAGGGGACTTACTCCTTCTTCTCCTGCAGACACATACTGCAGTTATCACAGCACAGTTGGTGATGCAGCAGAGCAGGAGAAGTCCCACTACCCCTGCTCCCCACGGTAGCCACTTCCTATACCTCTCAAATAGAGATTCTGAAAAAATCATTCAGTAAACAGATGTTTGACTAAACATAAAGTGCCATAGAAAACATTTTATGCTGTTTTAGAATACCCATTTCTTTCGATGTGCAGTTATGGTGAGGGTCCCATACTCCAGTACTGGTACACTGAGTAGTGTACACATCAGTGGGACCATCTCTACACTGATAGGTAGCATTACTGCCCACTGCAGTGGAGCTCATGTTAACTATCATGGTTTCCATAGAATTTAGTGTTGGACAGTCAACTATAAAGTACAAACATTTTAAAAAATAACAACAACACTTTCAGCAACCTCACTTGGAACTATGGTGATATCCACAGTGGTGTTCATAGTAGCGGTGGAGTGAGGGAGAGTAGCTACACAGGTGTATATCCCAGTCATATTCCTGGTGGTAGTCACTATATCAAGTTTCCCACTCTCACTGACCGTCTTCCCATCAGGAGAGATCCATTGTAAAGTTGGTTGAGGGTCTGAGTTTGATCCATTACAAAATAGATGTAGCTGACTTCCTTCGATTATGGTAGTTTCTCCCATAATTAGTGGAGGATTAAAGGCTAGTGGATGTGTAATGTATTAAGGTTTCATGCATGAAAAAATCTGTATGACCTCACCATAATAAAAGAAAACTCCTACTTTGGCCATGATATAACTCAACCCGCATAATAATTCGTCTTGCACCATAGTAATATCATTGTCCTCACAGCACTGTACATAAGTAACTGAAAATGTACTGAACGCACTCTCACTGTCAAACACTACAAGTGAGTCGATACCCTGTGTGTCATTCTTCACTACTTTTGCCAGGGTATTGGTGGAATTGATTACTGTGTCATTGAATCGAAACACATATCCAGTGACAAAAAATATGTCAGGTTCACACTGAAAACACGACGTCCCATTGGGTACGTATATGATGGTGTATTGACACTGGTAAGGCTGTAATGGGTGTATCAGTTTGTGTCACACACTGCCCTCAGTGTCCTGGTCATATAAACGATTCTGATAGCACTGTGAAGCCCCACCACTGGTTTTCACTCTG